TTCTGTGGTGAATAACCCATGCATTTACTGTGCAGCAAGTTTTAGGATGTTATGTTTAAAAAATGATAATAAAGCAATACAATCTCACACTGCGTACTTTGAATTTGAATTGTTTATTGTGTCTTGGTAAAGATCTAGATATATTGGGATCAGTACTATTTCGTTACACTATTGCAACTTCTCATTTGACGTCACAATACAGGTGGATTCAAGTAGCTTGGGCAGTAACTTGATGTACTTACAAAATAACTTGAAGTGTTATTATGGAATGTGAATAAATTTTCTACACAGCAGAAACTCACCGTTCGGGTTATTCGGGTAGATATTCCTACTATTCGGATTCAAAGTTTCCCTTGGGATATTGTAGTGACTTACTTTTATCATGAAAACACGATTGGTTTAATGAAAAAAATTATTATTATAACCAATTGTACCAGTGACTGTTTTACTGTGCTCGCTTGTTTAACTGTGCTAATGATGGACATATTGTACTACCATTACTCTCCATTACTTTTTCCGCCGATTGTGACCTCGTACGTTCGTACTCTTGCACGCTGATTCCACTTGTACTTGTTTTGGAACGATCTCGGTATTCGTTCGATACCACGAGACAGCCAACGAAATAAATCTGGTTACGTTCAATCTTCGCCTTCCGATTTGTTTGGCACGCGTTTCCTTGTAGTGGTGTTCATAGTCGATCTTGACTCGACTCCACGCTACAATATTCCAGAAGGTTATGAACCAGATTATCATTCGTCTTAATGCCATTGGATTGCGTCACGATGATATCGTTTTTCATTACGAAAATATTAAGTCGCATTATGAACGTCTTCTCAAGTTATTTAGACGCTTTGGTGACACAGAAGTGGCCGTAAATCCATCGAGGTGTGAGTTTCAAATCAATTCGATCAAATGCTTAAGTCATCCTGTAAATACCAAGGGTTTTAAATCTGATATGAATCGCTCAACTCCACTGATGCAAGCTCCGTCACCTACGAATATCTCAAGACTCAGGTTATGGTTTGGTACTGTTCAGTTTTATTTCTAACTTAACGAAAGTATTGTCTCCACTTTTCGACTTGGTTTCTAATAAAGTCTGTATATGGACAACGACGCGATGATATACTGAAGAAAGCTTTACAGTTTTTAAATGGTGAGGCCTTCTTTAGACCGTTTATGCCGACTGAAAAATCATTCCTTACAACATATTTATCTCCATTGGGGTTAGGTACGGTTCTTGATCAGAGTAGAAAGCCTCTTATTTTTATTTCGAGTCGATTAGGCGTGTAAACAAGGATATTCCTAAACTCAAAAGAAGGCTTTTGCTGTAGTATTGGCAGTAAAGAAACTGTATAAATATTTGTTAGATGTAAAATTCCATATTGTAACTAATTACCAGGCGTTAAAATTTATTTACCATCCAGCTAAGTTACTTCATCGGTCATCCGCGGTCATAGTCCAGAAAAAAACTTAGAGTTGAGTGCTTATGATATCACCATTAAGCAAAGAGTGGACAAAAGCACACCACATGCAGATTTCTTCCCACGCCATTCAAATTTCTTAAAACCACCAAACGAAAGTAATTTAATGTTTGTTCAACCATTACTTTTAAATATACCGGAACTTGCAAGGAATACTTGTAAATAATTTGAATACGTACAGTGGAGAGGTTGGAATATTCAGTGTAAGTCCAAGTTTCCTGAGATTTATAAAGGGAGAAAAATATATCACTACATCCTAAGGGTTTATTTTGTAATTTATTGAAAGAGCGATCATTCTCCCTACACTCAGATTTGCAGTATTAGACGAACTTCATATTGCCCATCTGGGAACAGAGAAAATGAAATCACCTGCTCGTCAGGCTTTCTAGTGACCTGAGACTGATACTACCATAACTTAAATATGGGAATTGTGTTCTGCTTTTATACACATGCTATCGTATAGTGGGAGTATCTGGAATCCTTGGTCTGCATCTTAAGAATCATGGCAATGTATTTGTGAGAATTACTGTGATATATTTTTAAACATATATTGTGCTATAGTTATCACTGATTCATATTGCGAATGGCCGGAAGTTGTACACACGAATAGTCCTAGCGGACATTTAACTCAAAGAGCGAGGAAAAAGATATTTAATGGTGGAGGAAATCTTAATGTGTTAGTTGCGGTAAAGGAACGTACCGCATAGAAGACCTTTAACAGCTGACTTACTATATTGCGTGCCGCCATCTATTTACAGATAAAAGAAATCTTCAGTCTAACTGTGAGATCCAATTTGAAGGTTTTGTGTGTGAAAATCCCTTCATGTATACACATATAATTTGTTCCTATAGATTCCTTCAGTTGTACATCTTGTTAGTCTCTTTTGATTCCGTGTGAGGTGGTAATATGTGCATTTTATTATAGTTTTTATTTTTTTTACGCCGTCACTGAGTTTCCATGTTTCTTATTGTACCACATTTATGCTGTTTAACTGATACTTAGTTTTGGCGGTAGCTATATTGGTTTGTTCCTCCTTTGATTGTATTGCTTGCATTGACTGGAATCGTGCATTTTTGATTGTGAATTGAAGCACTCTTCCAGAGTTGGAAACACTGTGTTACAAAGCAACCAAATATTATCTTTCGAACGAATCTGTTCGTGATCTATCCAGAAAGAGTAAAACAACACTAATTTGTTGCTCTTGGTAATTTTCTTACATTCTTCATCAACTTGTTTATTGTAATTTGGATCAACTTACTAGTTAGACAATCATTGATTGAATGACTGGGTGGTAATATTTGTTTGTGTAATAATGTACATTTATATTTATAATGAAATCTAGAAACGCCATTCACCCAATCACCTTGTTTTAGTTTCAACTGGGCAATAGCGCATATCTAAACTACCTAGACAGTTATTCTTCAGTCTCAACCTTAGTTTGCATTCTACACTAACGATTTCCCAGAAAATTTCGTTTGAACTGTAAACAGTGCTATCAAGTGAGTGAATCCAAGTGATCTAGAAGAGCTGGAAAAACGCATTGATTCTTCTTTGTTTCAACATTCAGCAACTCATGACAGTTCGGCAAAACTCTTTAAATCTCGCATACTTGGAACTCATTTAGTGAGCAGGAGATCATCAGAAGTTCATTTTTACCAAAAAAGTGACTACTGACTCTCTGCAGGGATTATAATGCAGAGGATGGATAGTCATATTGCAATGAGTTTTAGTTAGATTGGCGATTCAATTCACAGCAGACACAGACAAAGTAAAGGTTAGTGAAGTAGGTGATTCCAGCTTTAGTTGTGAACAATCTCTAAGTAATTCTAAGAGTGTAAGTAATTCTGATATTCGGATAGATAGTTTCAGTTTTAGTAATCATGATTCCCTTGTTAACAATGACCTTTTACATAATTCCGAATTTCAGATAGATGAAGACAACGAAAATCAGGATGCTAGACAGCTGAGATGTAACTGAGTTGCAGATAAACGTAGATTACATTATAAACACATGAAAAGACGATCAATGAGTGGTGGGTTTGGCGATTAACTAATACACTTACTGTACAGCTAATAATGGGATGTTATGTTTAAACAGTGATAATAAAGCAAAACAATCTCACACTTCGTAATTTGAATTTGAGTTGTTTATTGTGTCTAGACATATTGAGACTAGTAATATTTCGTTATATTGAAGGATCCTTCAAACGTCATGACTTCCTTTCAAGAAGTCGACTTAGTCAGAGCTTATGCCTGCATCTCGATAACTCTCCTAACGTCCTACGAACTTCTGCGTATCTTTCTGTGCAGAAAGCAGAGTGAAAACTTGTAAGGGATCCATCAAAGACGTTTTGAAAAAACATGGCTTCAGAAATTCATATTTTGAGAGATTTTTTATTGCATAACCAAACATTGAATCTCATATTCAGCGTCAGAACCTTCTTTTTCATCAACTCCAACAACATTCCATAACTTTAGACTATGAAATATGTCAATTCGAGTCTATCCATGGTACTTTTACTTTCCTTGTACACAGTTGAGCGCTTATTATGAATCGTGCTCGTCTAGTTCTATCTGCTCTAAATCTAATTATTACAGGAAATACTTTTCAACACATGAATTCGAATACTGCTTATTATCATGCTACCTCAACATTTTTGGGCATAGTATTAACGCTCAGAGTATGTGTTCACTGAAATCTAAACGGGAGCCGTTCCAGATAAACTGAAATCATCTAGTGTCAAGTAATAACGGAATTTCAACGAACTGTTAGGCTTTCATTATAGGTTCATGCCTAATTACCAGCATCTTATGAGATCCTTGACAGATCAACGTAGTTGGAATACAAGAGAAATCGAAATGATTCGCAGTGCAACGGAGGTAATCTTTACAGGAATAGGTATTATTGACAAGTTAACTCTACTTGCATTTCACAACACTAAAGCATGAAAAGGTAAAAATCTAACTATGTGACTTGCGCTCAGTCAAGCATAAATGTTGCGGTAACAACTGCTTCAATACGTTTTAAAACTTATCGCATCCAGGTGTTTGATTAACTATCGCAGTTATTACAGAGCAACAAAGCTGGTAAGATATGAGTAAAGATGTGACGGATTGAGCACATAGAACATAGCGTGTGTATTTACTAAGAACTTACTTAACACGTTTATCGCCAAAATTTTCGATATAAATCACAAAGTGAATTGTAGTGGCACAGAATAATTTCTATTTGAGCTAGTAGATTGGAATTATCGTGAAAAATTTAGGTACTGCACAAAGTTTCGTTATGAATTTTCCCATCCAGTATTGCGTGAAATCGAGATTCAAGATGAAGCGAATCATAGATCACCAATTTTAAATCGGCATTTTTCAGTGTATTGCCTAACCTTGTTTGAACATACCAGATTGAAGGTCATCGCTCAGCGAGAATACATTCGACCTCATTTGGAACGTATGAGCTAGTGAAAATGAAGTTGATGTTCATGTATTTAGTGGGATTATCTTTGAGACTACTAGGTATGATCTCGAATTTTTCACTAAAACTTCATTTAGTTGCAGCTACTGCTAATGTGGAAAGTGTCAAAGGTATCTGAAATATCGATTTTTGATTGTTCAATATTCTTCTCCAAAATAATAGTGTGTTTTACGCATATGAACAGCATAGGAGGATATCCTAAAGAAGGTTCCTACGAAATGGTCAAATTGATCTTGGACCAAAATTGCACACATATCATAGGAAACCTAATCCTTACTGGTCTTTACCGGAAAGGTAACTCTTGATAATCATTATTGCGCGGTATACTGCGCGTCGTATACTATTTCTTGGTTTATTATGTTAATGAAATTGTATACCGCTATTATTGATAACATTTTGGTACGCTCTAAATAATTGGCCATTTCTTTTTTACGAACTATTATCATTCTACTTCCGTACGTTTCATTCGCTTGATAGCATTTCCAACGACCCTTTCTCTCTCATCCTTTTGGATATTCATAAAAAGTATTGATGGGCACGAGTATATTCGTATTAACGTGAGACAATAAATGATGTGCGAACAATAAGCCTTGGCACAGATGTTGCTTGAGTTGTATAAAGTATTTGTGATAATATTAGACATTGAATAGACCGTGCGAGTTTTTGAAGCGTTTATTTCATGCTCAGTAAGCTTTTTATTGTCTCGACAGATGAAGTTTGATTTACTTTTGTTTAGCCATTACGAAACACCAAAGATGGATTTGTGGCATCTCAAAAGTCTCCAGAGCCTAAGAGAAAGGCTGACTAAAATTCTTCTTTTAAGTTTTATTCAGATGACTTTAATAGGCTGCGTGTAATCTGTAATCTCCCACACTTTGTTTCCAAAAGTAGAATTTGCCTTTGCAGAAATTTTGTGAGTTTCATATGTCATATCTAGTAAACTAATGATCGCCTTTTTATTCCTTTCTTTATCTACAATACTACCTATACATTGACTTAACCTTTAATTATGATCTGCTAAATAGGTTTCAGCTTTATAGAAAGCCAATTTAATACACGAAATTTGTCCATAAATTGTAAGGTTTATTTTTTTCCATTGTTATCTACTTAACTGTAAGGACTGTGAGCGTAATTGTTGAGCGACTGATTACCTAGTGAATAACCCTTGTCAGCATTGTAAGTAATGCTGTTTGTGTACCGGAGAGAGCATTGATACTAACGAAGGAACCTTCAGTAGACGATTTCATGTTCATAAAAGACACAGTTACCATATTTCACTAACGTTAACCATATAAACACAAGCTATAAAGCGTTGATTGTCTTTGTAAATAACACAGGTCTTGAAAAAGTACATCTTACTCCCCTGTAAAAGTCCAACTTTAATTGACAAATGTGACTCTGGAGACATTTTTTATCCTGTTAAAATATGCATATGTATGGTTAATATCTGAATAAATGTGGAGCTTGTCGGAATACAACTTGATAGGTTCTGTGAAAAAAATGATTTTGTGTTTAGTCAGTTCTCAAGAAACGATTTACCACCGTACATACGAATTATGTGTTTTCATAAATATGATGTAGGTTAGTTACTAAAAATTAAGTTCTTGTAGGTACCTCAGCTCCACCCTAAAAGTATATTTAAATAGTCCGATTTAGAAGCTGTAAGTTTCTACGAACGCTTATGGAGTTATATAAGACTAGATTGTTCACGTTTCAGTAAATGTTTTAGGTTAAAAACTAGTATTTAATTCTTTAGATTATTCGAAGTGATTGTATTCATTCAATCTGAATTTCTAGACAAATGGACTAAATGCAATGTCAGTGTGCATGCATAAGAAATGTGCAGTCTATTTTCTGAGATTTCAGAACAACTGATGTCACGTTCAACATAAGGTAGCCGAGATTCAATAAGAATAATAAGATATTGTTGGCTTATTAACGACCAACGTCTCTTGTTTAGGGAATTCAGGTACAATTTAGTTAAACTTTACTAAGTCACCGGCCGTAAGAATTGCAGAAGGTCACCAGGATTATTGGTGGAAACAATATTAAAATGAAGCCAGCTAGCAATTGTATAATGAAAAATACAGGTGTTTAATACTTGATCACTTAACTAACCTATCCTCTGAGCTGTTATACACCACTCTTTTCTTCACCAAAACAACCTACTTTGGTACATATTTACGTTCATTCTTGTTTATCTGTCTTTGTTATACTTTTATCGCGTCGTACGATTTTGCTACATTGTCAGTAATGTTAAATAATTATCACACTTTGGTCAAAATTCCATTTATGCAATCGTTTGCACAACTATTGGTTTAGCCTTATACGGAATTATTCATTAACTCCCTTCACTTTCTATACATTTGGAGTAACTACTCGAGGTATGAGTTTTAGGATAGTATTTTATACAGGCTTCTCAAAATATGTGGTTTAAACCGTTTTCTACATAATAGTTTTTATCCTCATGGAAAGCACAACAGATCAGACTATGAGCGTATGATATTATCTTTTACAACAGGCTTGTCAGTAGTTAGTATTCTGAGTGTTTAACCCTTATATCGCACTTAGTTTTTTAATCTAAAGCAGGAAATTGTTCTAGTTTTTCTGATGTAAATTAACGTGTTATAAACAATTAAGCATGCCCTCTTGGTAACATTTGAATTAAAATCTGATGTCACTTCTGATATTAACCACCGTTTGTCTTGGGAATAACTTTATTATTCGTGCATTACTATAGTTCATTATATTTAACCGATTATTTAAAATCTAAAGGAATTTGATATACGGATTTTCTGTGGATATGTAAAACGGTTAGCAAAGATATAAAAGGGTTTATCAATGTGCGCAAGTAATAATTTGTTATATTTCCAAAGTTTGCAGATAGTCGAAATAGTGTGACTTAAAATATTAAAGTGAGATAGGAAAACTTGTCATATTCTAAAAGAATGTTTGTTCGTATATTCAGGAGGGAATACTTAAACAACGTTATGGAGAATCACGTGGTTCAAGTCAAAGACCCTCGAAAACTTATTCCTTTGTATCCTCTGAGTTTGTTGACTCTTGAAACTATCAATTGAAGCAAAATTTTTGTCACATGTTTTCTTCTTAAGTTCTGCTTCATGACCATGCTCAAACATTTTCAAGTACATCCTGCAATTAATCAATCAACCAGAGTGAGGTTAGATATTCTTTATCTAAATCGGAATATTAAACTCGTGATAGAAACTCAGTCTCTTTTGGGCATACCTAACTTTCCGTTTTCCGATTACTGGCTAGTTTAGACTTATTAACTCCCATCAATATACTGTTAAGTTAAATTTAAAATGTAATTGAAATTAAAATGGGATGACTTTTGAGATGATATGAATTGAATAGAGCGATTATCGCTAGTCGGGTGAGGTCAGCAGGTTTGCGAGTAAATCTTTCTTCGAAACCTGAGCAACCCGTAAGTGAGGAATTACATACCTCCCTTTTAATGTCCACGGTGTCAGTGAGTAAAAACCCGGTTCTTAGGTATATGAAATATGAATTGCAGTTAACAACGTTTTATTCCTCAGCGCTTTACACCTTTCCGTATAGTACACTTAAAAATATTGTTCATCACCATTTTTATCAGACTTCTCATATTTTTATAGTGTTATTCAAGTTTCAATCAGAAATCTCAAAATATAAAATCTGGTGACCACTTTATAAACAATTGTCTGTAGTTTCCAGTTTCTTGACGTTCGTTAGATGGGTTGAAAAATTTAAATGTTCAGAATAAGAACAAGAGATTGACTACGGTGATATTCATCCTTAGGTTTATAAAAGATGGAAGATTTGACAAAGGATTTGCAGAGAATGCATGCAATCTAATTCCGTCATTTGGCTTCATTCGGAATAAAATCTAGGTTCTAAACCATTTTCCATATTTTAGTTGTCGAATAAAATTTGAATGATTCAACTGAATGGTTGGAAATTCGTTTCATCACTTGAGGTAAGCAGAGAAACAACGTGAAGCAAAAATAAAGATACGCAGCAGAGTTGACTCACTCTCTTTCTCCGCTACGTGTCGCTTCGGTTCTGATTGTCCGTTAGGATCAACGAGTATATGAAATATACACACCCATAACGCGTTCTCGTGTTTGGTTTATTTTATTCCATTATTCACTGACACAAATTAAGTCGATAAATATATACGAGGGTTGGCGGTTTGTATATTTCGATCACAATCAACATACGATTTAACTATAGTCAGATGTAGGGCTACTAAAAGTGCTATGAACTAAAGGATTGTCCAATGTGTCTATCCTTCGACAAAAATTGTTAGCTTATTACCTCTTTAATAATCTGCATTTTTCATCAGATGCGTGTTTTTGTATATAGCATATGAAGATCATGAAAAGCTAAACTTTTGAAGATGATCGCATTTCATGTTTTTGTCAAGAGTATTATTTAATATATTTCTGTTGGCACTTGTAACACGTTTTGGGATACAGAAATTATACTTAAAGTATTCGTTGTAAATGAAACGTTTTATTCACTCTAATTTACCTTGTACAACTTTTCAAGTTGTTCTGTTTGACATTAACAAATGACGTATACTTTTTGCCAGTACTTTAGACTCAACAAAATAATGTTTCGATATTAATAAAAATTATGAGGTCAGATTCCCGAAATAAATGAATAATATGTAAGACATTTAGAATAAAGGTGTTATATGGCTTACACCTTCGTTCAACATTTTCAAAAATATGTAAGTTTTCTAACAATGTTCAAATTATGTAGCTGCTATTAACAGGATAGTACTTAACGATAACATTGATTTTGTATTCTCCTTTCATCGACTATTTGAGTCAGTTAAACTATTGTAAGAAAATACAAAATGCTGCTTATAGTTCACTTGCAGCAACCTTCAATGCAAATGGTATCTGGAATAATGCTATTGCTTCTTAGTTATAGTGATGTTCAGATTCTGTAAGGTCTCCTTTTTGAAATCTCAGACTGTTACTTATTTTTTCGACGTAGTTGAGTAATGTCATCTTTTCAGTGGAATTTAGGAAGACGGTTATAGTTATATTTGCTAACTGTGATCATGTCTTTGTAAAATCTTTGTTGAAAATATGATCTTGTCATGTCTACCCAGTTTTAGCGAACTGCTTTATAGTTAGTGTCCATTAGTAAAGTTAGACTACTCATGATTTTGAAATGATTTAATCAGTGAAGGGATGAAAGACTGCTCTAGTTCTTGTTCAGTATTTTTAAGTTGTCTGTAGGAACAGAATGTAATATGAAGCAGTTGGTACATTCTA